GCTGCCACCACCAGCTCTGTGGGTGCTCTGGCCAGCGGCCCCGGGCTCGGGTTGGCGGGGCGTGTGTTGAGACCCCCGGCAGCTGCTCATGCACTCCTCCTCCGAGGCAAAGTTGTTGGCGTTGCCGTGGCAGCCACCGTACCAGAAGCGGTTACACCGGCCCACAGAGGCGATGAAGTACCAGCGGGGGGCCCAGTCTGTGCAGGAGCCGAGGGCGCTGGGCAGCAGGCACCCCACGGGGTATGCTGAGGGCAGGAGCACGCATGTCACTCAGGCGGCAACGCGGCCCAGCAGAGCCCTGCCCAGAACTACCCACATCCCCTCGGAGACAGGAGCCCTTCCCGTCTATGGAGCAGCCTTCGCCCCTGCCCGGCCCTCACCCGGCCCTGGGGCAGAGTCTGTTCACTGACCTGCCCTGGGCACAGAGCAGCCTCCGCAATCAGCCAGGCCACCTCCACCCACAGAACCAGAGCCTCCCAGAAAGTCAGGCCTTGGAGCTCCCGGGACGGGCTCCCCCGCACCCCTCCCATCCCTGACCAGGCCCATGGAGTCCACACCCAGAGCAACCCGAGGGCTTGACCCAGCCCTGAGCTCCAGGAGCCTGTGCAGGTGCCCAGCGAGGGGCCACCCTGTGCCCAGGCCCCTTCGCCAGCCTCTGAAGATGCCTCCAGCCCCACCTGCCTGTGCTAGCAGCCTCCCCCAAGCACAGCCGGCTCCACTCTGCACGTTCAGACGTGACCGTGGCTGGCCCCTGCCTAAAGCCTCCTGCAGGCCCTGACCCCCAGCCTGCCTGGCCTTCAGCATCTCCGTGTGGGTCCCCAGAATCTCCATCCATGCACCCCTTGCTCCAGCCTCAATACCTCCTTCCAGGACTCGCCCCAGGCAGGGCAGGGACACCCCATCCACCGGCACTGACCCTACACCACCCCTGCCTCCTCTGTGGGATCCCCACCGACAACTCTCCCCCACCCCCATGGCAGCCAGGCAGCCTCAAGTGCAAACCGCTGGGAATGAGAACAGTCTGCTGTTCCCTGGCCTGGCACCTAGGAGGCGGTCGGCATATCCTGGTGGAAGAATGAATGAACCACTGAGCCCAGGAAGGTCGTTGGCGTTGAGTGGGGACCAGCGCCTTCCACAGCTGAGGAAGGGCATCCACTCACCGTAGCTGGGCTGGCCCACACAGCCTTCCCCAAAGGGGCCTGCTGCCGAGGCCACGTTGTCATAGCAACAGCCAAACTGGGAGCCCCGGCACTCAGTGGGCTCACTCTGCTGGGCCTGGGGCTGGTGGGCCTGGGGCACCTGGGGAAGAAGCTGGGAACAGATCCGGTTCCTGGTGGGCTCTCAGGGGCCCGGGAGAGGGTGGCAGGGAGCAGGAGAGACAATTGTGAACCCACAGTGCAGAGCCCCAGCCCTGGGGGGAGATCAGAGGCCAGGAGAACAGCAGACAAAACCCCCAGCCCCAGACCATCTCTGAAGCTTGTGTCCTCGAGAGGACGACCCAGGCCTACAGGCTTCAGAGACCTCCTCCCTCCAAGGCCAGAGCCGCAGCGTGGCACAGAGCAGGTTCCGGGCTGGGCTCCCGCCCACACGTGAACGGGACACTCACTGTGGAGGCCACTGCTCTCGACCCCGACCTCCTCCTGTCGTCGCCGTTAGACTTTGCGCAGCCAGCTTGATGGGGCCCCTCAGCCACAGACACCCCGTCAGGGCAGCACCCATACCTAGGCAGACATCACAGCCCGCTCCTCACCACCTAGTCCCTTCCAGGGACCCTGAGCTCCCAGCACCCCCGGACTCCCTGCACTGGGGGCCGACCAGGGGAGGGTCCAGTAGGAGAGGCCGCGTCCCTGAGTGCAAGGCATCCCATCACGCACACCTACCCCAGACTCGGTGGCTACCAGCCACTGAGCGGCCAGCAGGGAGGGCAACACTGGCACAGTAAGCAGAGGTGCAGCCCTGATAACTGGCAAATCCTCAACTCACACATCCCACCACCAGAGCGAGGAGGGGAGTGAGCCGGGCCTGCGGGACCATCAGGCTCCCAGGGAGCGTTTATCAAACAGCAGCAGAGGGAGACGGGGCAGAAAGAGGTCAGGAAGCCAGCACGCATTTCTCCCCACAACCAGGACTTGGGAGGGAAGGTAAAAGGAAGATCGGATCAGAGCACCTTCCCCGGGCCAGGCACCGTGGGACGGTCTCATCCTCGCAGTCACCCCAGTTAATGGCTGTCACTGTTCCAGTTCTCAGCAGAGGAAGCCAAGATCAGAGAGGTGAAGTCACTTGTCCAAGTCACCCAGCACACAGCTAATAAGTGGCTGAGCTGGGAGTCACCCCCAGGCCGCTGGCCCCAAAGTCTGGGTCCTTAGTACCTTAGCCCTGAGGGAGTGGGGGCCTGGTTTGGACTGAAAGCTGAAACCCAACCCCATGTGCCTTCCCAGAGCCTCAGGCGACAGCTCCAGGTGAGGAAGCAGGCCCTCCACCCCGACCAGCACAGCACGAGGAAGCGCAGCCAGAGGAGGCAGTCAGGGCTGCAGCCGCCTCCGTGGTCCCATTCCTGGGCTCGGCAACCACCCCATCCTCTCTGAGCAGAGGCTGTCCTGCCCGCCCCCCCCATTCCCTACACACACACACACACACACACACACACACACACACACACACGCCTCTCTGACCTGGTGAGGAGGAAGAGGCACCTACCTGCTCTGCTGACAAGAGGCCCCGGGGCAGCCTTGCCACTGCGGCCCCAGAGAGGCCGTGTGGCCATCGGGGCAGCACCCGTGGGGGCTGTGCCTGCAGTCCTGGGGCCCCGGGCCAGACCACAGGGGCTGCTGTTCTGGGGACGGCTGCAGAGAAGAGGCTGGGCCTGGGGCTGGCAGGTGGGGGCCCTGGTCTCCTCTGGGGTTACCCGGAGTTGAGGGCTGCTCCCGGGGTGCCCACCACTGGTCTCTGGAATCTAGAAAGACGAGGAAGCAAAGACACATGATGTGTCCACATCAGACCCCCTTCTCTGCATCCCTCCTAAGCCACTCACCCCCACCCCCAACCTCCACCTCCCGGGCCCTGGGTTGGGGGCTTCTGCCAAGCTTCTCACCCAAAGCGGGGGCCTCCCGAGGGCCCAAAGACATCCAGGGGGCCCTGAAGCTGGTGTGCACGTCCTGCCCGCTGGGGGCTTCTGGGGAGCTGGCTGCCGGGGTGGGACGCAGAGGGTGGAGGAGAGGAGCGGCGTGAGCCATGGCCCGCCTTGACCGGCATCTGCTCCCACCCGCTGGTCAGGCAGGCCGGGGGGACCCAGCACAGCGGATGGGAAATGAACGGTGCCTGTGATTTCATTAGACACCCGTCCCACGTCTTACAAGAGCCTTTAATCACATAGAAAATGCTAATATTACGTGTTCAGCAAAAAGGAAGCCAGATATAAAGTTAGCATGTTTGATCCCAACTATAAAAGAAAGACAACAAGTCATACACAATTTTTTAAATTGGACTGTCGAAAGAACAAATAACCCAATTTAAAAACAAGCAAAGAAACTGAACAGGCATTTCCCCAAAGTTACGCAAATGGCCAAAAAGTACAGGAGATATTCAACATCATTGGTGTACGGATCCTTTTCCATGATACAGTCCAGAATGGGCAATGCTAAACACAGGAAATGCTAAACACAGCTGAGATGAGACGCTGCTTCGCACCCACCAGGATGGCTCTAATAAAAAAAACCTGAATAGCCTGGCCGGTGTTTCTGTCTCTTTCCCTCTCTCTTCCATTTCCTCTAGAATCAATAAGAATATATGTATATATTTTAATCTGAATAATAACTGTTGGTGAAGATGTGGACAGACTGGCCTGTCCTCATTGCTGGCGGGAATGTAAAACGGTGCAGCCACTGTGGTAAAGTCTGGCAGTTCCTCAAGAAGTTAAACGTTGGAATTACCATAGAGTCCATCAATCCACTCCTAGGTACAACCCGAGAGAAATGAAAACCTATGTCCACACAGAAACGTGTACGTGAATGCTTGCAGCAGCACTACCCGATACGGCCAAAGTATCCATCAGCAGATGAACAGGTAAACAAATGGTGGTGTATCCATAGAAGAGTTATTCAGCCATAAAAAGCAATGGCATTGGGGTGGGAGGGGAGAGATTAACCGAAGACTTATATGCATATATGCACAGCCCATGGACATAGACGATAGTGTGGTGAAGGCCTGGGAGGGATGGGGGCTGGTTGGAGGGGAGTAGAGGGGGGAAATGGGTGACATCTGTAATACTGTCAATAAGAAAAAATAAATTAAAAAATAAAAAGCAATGGCGTGCTAGTGCATGCTACAACTTGGTGCGCCTCCGAAGCATTCTGCCAAGTGAAAGAAGCCAGGCACTAAAGGTGTACGGATCCTTTCCCATGATACAGTCCAGGATGGGCAAATCCACAAAGACAGAAAGCAGATCAGGTTACTGGGGAGGATGGGGGTTCACAGGAAGTGATGACTCAGCGGGTCCACCACGCTCTCTGGCGTGAGGAACATTTCTGAAACCAGGGGAGAGCTGGTGGTTGAGCAACACTGTGACTCCACCGAACAGCACCAAGTCAAACACTTTAAACTGTTTAACCGTATGTTATGTGAATTTACCTCAGTAAAAAGAGTCCGTATTAAAAGTAATTGGATTGCTCGAGGGAAGAGTAGAAAGAGAATAATGAAAAGCAGCCCGGTCCGGGGCACCTGCCCGGGTTGTGGGCTCGTCCCAGTGTGGGGCGTGCGGGAGGCAGCCGGTCAATGATTCTCTCTCTCATCATGGGTGTTTCTCTCTCTCCCTCTCCCTTCCTCTCTGAAATTAAAAAATATTTTTTAACAGGAAAAAGAAAATATAACAAAACATTAATTGTAGAATTTAGAAGGTGGGTACACGGCGCCTCACTATACAGTTCTACAGTTTCCATATTTAAAATTTTCCCCTGTCTTGTTCAGCTGGGTAAATTTGCTAAAAATCATGAATTATATCATTAGAATGGGTGGATGTTATGGCTTATTACATTCAATCACCATGACAGTTATTCAAAATGTTTTTCATTATAAAATGTTGGAGAAAAATGCAAAAGACTAAGAAAACGGAAATTTTAAAAAATGATGAATAAAATGAGACAGAACACACCCCAACGCTCAGAGCGGAAGTTTCTCAGGGCTTCGTGGGTGCATGTGTGTGCGGGCGTGTGCGCTGGGTGGGATGGGGGGTGGGAGGGTCCTTTCTTCTATTTGTTAGCGTTTTTCACAAATTTTCCACAATAAGCACATTATTACACAATGGAAGAAAATTAAAAAAGCAAGTGAAAATTCCATTCCCATGTGGACTGCATCTTGCCAGTCCCCAGGGAATATTTACAAAATAATAAGTCAGGGTTGGAAGACTTCAGTAGACATGCAGTAAAATCTTTGTTTTCGTGTTATTGCCCTCCCACCCAGGCCCAAACCTCTCTCCGGACTCAAATTCTCCCTCCAGTTCTGTCACTTCCCCCACCCCCTCCATTCTCTCAGACCGAATTCCCAGTCCCCAGCCAGCCTGGGACTCTGCCTGCTGTCCTGCCACCTCCAGGCGAGAGGCACCTGTCTGCCAAGCCCACCCTGCCTCCGCTTCCCCTGTGGACTCTCCCCATCCATCTGTTCGGGCTTCCCCTAGCGCCCAGGACCCCTTCCCACACACCGTCTGGGGTCAGGCTCTGCTGGGCCGGCACCTGCCCCTTCGCTTCTATTGCTTTTATAGCACCGGAATGTCTGCGGCCTGCTCCCCACCCGGCTCCTGCCTCCCAGCTGTCACCCCGTCAGTCTGACCCTCGGGCAGGTGCCCAGTTTGTCCTCCCCAACAGCTTTCATGGCGTCACCGCTTCCTCCAGAACTTTCAATGGCTCCCGTGGGCTCTACTGACCAATATAATCTGAGCCCTGAGCAGCCCGCAGCCTGAGACCTCCCGTCGCCACCCTCGCACCTTGGGCTGAGGGCAGAGTACTGAGCACTTGGAATGTGGCCAGAGTGATGGAGAACCTGAGTTTGACATTCTTTCATCAGGATTCATTTAATCTTAAATTTAAATACTGACGCTTGATTCATTTATAGGAAAACACCTCAGTATGTTTGGAACAACTTGGGTAGTCAATCTACTCTTTCGACTGCACATTTTATGAAATCTAAACGCTGATCACCTATGCCAGTGAAATGTTAGCATCCGAACGGAGCTGTGCTGTAAGTGCAAATTATATATTGGATTCTGAAGATTTTTTTTTTTTAAATCTCATGTAGAAAGAATGCAAAAATATCCCCTTCATAATTTTTATTTGAATTGCATGTTAAGTAAAATATGTTATTAAGTATAAGTTTACTTATTTCTTTTCACATTTTTAATGTGGCTCTCAGAAAACGTCTAACGCCGTCTGTGGCTGGCGTTCTATTTCCATTGGCGAGCACTGCTCCGGAGTCTAGAAAGAGGAAGCAGAGGTTGCCGGGTGTCCACTCAGGCACCCACCCTCATGGGCCTCCTCCTTTGACCCCTGACCTCCGCCTGGGCATCCGCTGTCTGCACTACAGCATCAGTTACAGCAACGGGAACCCCGCAATTCCCCACTCTCACCACGAGCAACTATGAAGCTCCTAGAAATCATGAGACTGGAAAAATGGTCACAACCCAAATGGCCCTAAACGGGAAAAGCAGACACAAAGCCACACACGTCACTAGGAAGTACGCGAAGCCGCTGCTGGGCGGGATCAGAGGCGACCTAAGCTTCTCTACATAAACTGTTTCTCTAATTTCTCCAGATTCTCCACCATGAGCGCACATCACAACCACCACTGTGCCGGGTCGGGCGGGGCAGGCTGGGAGAGGACAATGGGGGAGGGGACACGTGTAATACTTTCAACAAGAAAGAATTTTTAAAAAATCATCGTGGAGGTTATTTCTCTAACAACCCAGCCTGGCCTGGACGTCTCCCTCCGCTTCCTTCCCTTCTGCCGTGTGAATGCCTCTCAGAGGCTCAGGGCCCCCCTGCAGGAAGGTGTCCAGGGCCCTGGGGCCCTGAGTGGCTCTAGGGAGCTGGATCATGGGAGCCCGAGGGGCCTCCTGCTCATGCATCACGAGGGCCAGGCTGAGGCGCCCCGGAGCCTCTCTGCCACCACCGTCCATGCTTTGCTCCTGAGTTCTGTGGCGCAGGCACTGTGCCACGCAACTCCCCACAGCCTGGAAAGTCCCTCTTACTGACCCCATTACACAGATGGGCAAACAGTCAGAGAGGAGAGGCAGGGGGGAGCCCGAGGGGCCTCCTGCTCATGCATCACGAGGGCCAGGCTGAGGCGCCCCGGAGCCTCTCTGCCACCACCGTCCATGCTTTGCTCCTGAGTTCTGTGGCGCAGGCACTGTGCCACGCAACTCCCCACAGCCTGGAAAGTCCCTCTTACTGACCCCATTACACAGATGGGCAAACAGTCAGAGAGGAGAGGCAGTTGCCCAGGCCGCATGGTTGGTGGGCAATGGAGTGGAGATTTGAACCCAGCCCAGGTTAACTGTGGACTCCAGGCCACTGGTTCTTGGCCTCCATGGAATCCTACCGCTCCTCATCACGGCTCACGGGGTCCCCATCACAGCTCACGGGGTCCTCATCACGGCTCACGGGGTCCCCATCACAGCTCACGGGGTCCTCATCACGGCTCACGGGGTCCCTATCATGGCTCATCACAGGGTCCCCAGCACAGCTCACGGGGTCCTCATCACGGCTCACGGGGTCCTCATCACGGCTCACGGGGTCCTCATCACGGCTCACGGGGTCCTCATCACGGCTCACGGGGTCCTCATCACGGCTCACGGGGTCCTCATCACGGCTCACGGGGTCCTCATCACGGCTCACGGGGTCCTCATCACGGCTCACGGGGTCCTCATCACGGCTCACGGGGTCCTCATCACGGCTCACGGGGTCCTCATCACGGCTCACGGGGTCCTCATCATGGCTCACGGGGTCCCTATCACGGCTCACGGGGTCCCATCACGGCTCACGGGGCCCCCATCACTAGTATGTCAGGGCCCAACACACCTCTCCACTGCACCAGAAGGCCACCCCCACACCCCAGCCAACCCGCACTTTCCTGAATATCGCATCCTCACACCAAGCAAGTGCTCACCCCTATGACCTTCCTCCAGCAGCTCCTCATGCCTGGGACACCCTTTCCCAGTGGGGACAACGGGGACGGTGGGGAAGGGGGGCGACAGACTCAGAAGCAGTGTGTAAGGACCATCTTTCCTGGACCCTCTCCCCTCACTGCACTCAGTCAGTCAACACTCACTCACTGAGTACTGTCACATGCCAGCAAAGTCCAGTGGGGCTGTGAGCAGGGATAAGGAAGGCAGAGACCCGGCCCTCAAGAAGCTTATAACTAGTAGGCCCTGCAAGTCAGATATAACCCAGCAGCCCAAGAAAACTAACCTAAGGGTGACAGCAGGTACAGTGAGCTGTGGGGTGGGCTAAGGGACGCTACCTCTAAGGGGAACAGGGCTGGCTCAGTCTGTGGCAGAGAGCTGCACTGTGGGTGGGGAACTCTGCAGTAGAGGGAGGGGTGGAGGAGGGTTGTCCAGGGGCTGACGCAGACCAAGGCCCAGAGGCAGAACATGCTGGCTAGGTGTGCGGTGGGGCAGGGGTCTGGCCGGCCTCCACCCCGTCCTTACCCGGAGGAAGAGGGCAGGGCTGCGTGTTACAGGGCTCCACCTCTGCAGGCTTCCACAGCTGCAGGCTCCCGCAGTGGCTGGGTGGCCCAATGGCACACGCCACCTGCCGTCTCCGAGTGCCCGAGCTGCAGCTCTTGGAGCACTAGGGCCCATGGGGTGAGAGGAGAGAACGCCATGTATATAGAGAGGACACTATGCAGAGGGAGCGGGCCCCAGGCACAGGGAGAGAGCTCTTGAGGGTACCCACAGGGAAAGGAGGGAGGGAGGGAGGGAGGGAGCTGATAATGCATGTCAGACCCACGGACAGGCATGTGTGCAGCCGCCACCAGAGACCGAGGGACCAGGATTGGGCGGCAGGCACGGGGGCAAGTACTCACTGGACTCCAGGCGCCTGCGTGCCAGGCCTGGTCACTGAGGCGGGGACAGTCGTCGTGCACGCAGGGCTCCGTGAGCGGCGGCTGGTCCTTAAAGGAGCAGGCTGAGGCATGCAGCAGAGACCCCTCGTCGCCCCGGCAAGTGACGCTCCTCCTCCGGATGCCGGCACCACAGCTGACGGAACACTGTGAGGACCAGGCCGTCAGCAGCTGCTTGTTCTCACCCCAGGAGCCACGCTGGGTCAGACAGCGGAAGGCCCACCGGCCCAGCATGGAGGGCGGACAGCACCCTACTGCCCATGCCCAGCTCCCAGGACCAGAGAGGCTGAGTCACTCCCCTGAGGTCACACAGCCTGAGCCACGCATGCTGACACCAGGCTGAGGTGCATTTTCCACCTTCCCTCATTTGCAACTTGGACACACGTAGGTGTCAGAAGCCATGGCCAACAGCCTCGACTGCGCGAGCCCCTCCCTTGCTCCCAAGCAACATGCCCAGCTGCCTCCCTGCCACGGCAAAGCCTTGCCCACCCTGCCTGGACCCCGAGGAGGACAAGCAGTGGAGCAGGAGGCTAAGCACCTGCTCCTTGTCCCAGCTTTGGCCACAGCTTCCAAGCCCACCCAGCAGGTGACTTCACTGGGTCTGTTTCCACGGCAGAGAGCAACCCTCCCAGCCCTGCCCTAGGCCCAAGACCCAGCTTCTGACTCCGCTCACCCCTGCCTGGCCCACCTCACCTCTCCCCAGGGCTCCTCCCGCCAGGCTGCGCAGCGCTGCAGGTTGCAGGCCTGGGTGGTGGCGGGCTTCCCGGGCAGGCCTGCACACTGGACCTCCTCCATCGCCTCCTCGCCGCCGGCCCCATCGGACCAGACGCAGTAGACGGAGCGGGACTGGGAGCCACCTCCGCAGGAGGCCGAGCAGGGTGTCCAGGGCCCTGTCTTCCAGCTGGCAGGGAGCAGGAACCGGTGAGGCCGGCCCAGCAGCAGGGGCCGAAGCCCAGGCCCGAGGCGGTGCCAGCTCTCACACACAGGAGTGGACTGGAGGCCCCCCGACCCGGCCCATCCTCTGACCATCCAGGCCTGCGCAGCTGGGGGGCAGAGAGCTCTGCACAAAGGCCAATCCCCGGGCCCCCTCGCCATCTCCCACCACCGCGTGCTGGCCCCTGCACCACGCAGCCAGGCTGCCTCCCTCTCAGCTCCCCTCCCTCACCCGCATCTCCCTGTGGCCTTCTCACCAGGTCCTGTCACCCGAGCCAGACTCCAGTCCCTCAGGGTCTGACCTTGGTTGGGGGCATCGCCCGGAGGGGGCCGTGCTCGGCCAGGTGCGGAGTGGCCCTTCCTGGCCCTGGGGCACAAGGACCCAGGGGAAAGGGCAGCCCCACCACACATGCAAAGGCCCACCATCCGGAGAGGCCAGCTGCCACCATGGCAGGAGGGCGGCGCCAGCCCTGCGGGGCCTGTGCCTGCAGATAGCCTGTCCCACCGGGGCCCTGCAAGGCGCCAGGCTCCGGGCAGGTGTGGTAAGAGGTGCTCTGTGCACGAACAACGGCATTGCAGGCACCCTCAAGCCCTTCTGCCCAATCCCTGGCCACCCCTGGCACCTGCCGAGCCAAGCCCCCTGCCGGCTCAGACAGACGGGGCCTCCAGTACCTTCCCCAGCCCTCCAGCCACCAGCCTGGACGGCCGGGCACTGTGCGGTCAGGATAGCCGGGCCTCATGCTCAGGCTCCTCCACTGCCTCCCCAAGGGACAGCTGCCTCTGCCCCCACTCCAGCCACAGCCGTGGGGAGCCCTGGATCACCCAACCTCTTTGCCCAACACCTCAAGCAGCCAAGGCACCCCAACCCCTCCCACCCAAGTGCTTGGGCCCTGTCATGGGTGGAGGGACTGGCAAGGGCCTCACCGTTGGGTCTGTGGGCAGGAGTGAGGGCTGCAGGGGCGGCGGGTGGCCGGCCGTGGCTGGTGCTGGCACATGTGGTCGGGGTAGACCTCATTGTCGATGGTGCAGAACACAGGGCGGGACTGGTGACCTGCAGAGCCCGGCCATGGTGGGAGCTGGTGAGGCAACAGGCACCGAACGCCCTCTCTGGGCCAGGCCCACGCCCGTCATCTTGATCAAGCCTCAGACGACCGGGGTAAGCGCCGTCATCATCTCCAATTCACAGATGAGGAAACTGAGGCTCGGAGTTTTAGCTACGAGTGACCAAGCGCCGTCCCCCCAACCCCCCACCCCCGACAGCTGGTCATGGGCTCCAGGCTCGGCCTCTACTGCCATGGAACCTTCTCCTAAGAGATCTGGTTCTCCCAGCTTAGGTGGGGGCCCTTTGTGGAGCCCCTGGACCCCAGGGTTTCCCCAAGGTGCACCAGCACCTGCAGATGTCTCAGGTACTTGTCCCCCTCCCCCCGCAGGGCTGGAGCGTGAGGAGAGGACAGCCTGTCCCCTGGGCTGCGGCCTCACCTCCGCCACACTCAGCACTGCAGTCGCTCCAGGAGCCGTGGCTCCAGCTGAAGCCGGGCCGGGGGGTGCTCAGGGGCAGGTGGTACTCGTAGCGCACGCCGGGGCTGGACTCCTGGCTGATGAGCTGCACAGGGGGGTCCTCCTTGAGGCCTGTCATCGACAGCCCCTCCCTCACCTCGTTCCCACAGCCCTCCTGCTGGCCCAGGCCCGAGGGACCTGCCACGGTCTCCAGGGGACCAGGTGCCCCCTTCACCCCACAGGTCTCTCCTGCCAGCCCTACTCACCTCGATGACCAGGGGCTCCGAGGTGGGGCCGCGGGCATGCAGCCGCTCCGGTGCCAGGTCCCCCTCGGCACCCCGCTCGTAGTGCAGGATGGTGCTGGCCACGGGCAGGGCGCGGGCGGCCTCGATGGTCCAGTGCCCGTTGAGGTAGTACTCACCCTGGATGCTCTTCACCGCTGTGCAGGGCGAGACCCCCTCCCCATCAGCTGCCAGAGGCCCCACCTCCCCTGCCAGAGCCCCCACCTCCCCAGACCCACTGTCCTCACCCAGGAAATTCCTGCTGGCAGCCACCTCCTCGATGCGGATGCTGGTGGCCCCCGTGGGAACGATGAGGATCTGGTTGTAGCCTGAGGAAGCGGAGACACCACTCAAGCCATAGGGAGGAGCTGGCCCTGAGGGCACCATGCGCCCAGCTGCACAGACGGGGTCAGGGGAGGGCAAGCAGGAGGCCGCAGGGCTGGGCTGCCTGGGGGTGAGTGTCCCCAAAGAGGAAACAGCTTTGCAAAGGCCAGAGGGGGGGCAGGCTCGGGCACCCAGACTGACTGGAGAGGGCAGATAGGGAGGGACGAGAGGGGGCATTTAGGTGGCAGCAGTACAAGATCACACGGGATATGTGGGCAGAGGTCGGAACCATCAAGGGCCCACAGGCTCCTGTGAAAGGGTTTGGCTTCACCCTGAGCCATGACCTCGGGCCTTTGAAGCAAGACCTGAGTGCCAGGGCAGCCCTCAGTGCCATGACCCCTGCGAGCCAGAGCAGCAGACGGGCAAGGAAGGCACAGGCAGCAGACCCAGTCCCAGCTGTCTGCGGAGCCCTGGAGGACCCCACCTCTGCTGAGGTCACTGACGTCAAAGGTGCCGGTGACCGGGTAGCAGGTCGTGCCGTCACCCCCACACTGCAGACACTTGTCCTCCTGCTTTGACGAATCGAGCTTGTGGTCACAGCCCACAACCTGCCAGGCAGAGATGAAGGAGAGTCACCAGCACACCAGGATTCGAACCCTGGGTGCCTGGCCAGGTCAGGGAGGAGCAGTAACTACAGTGGACCGTTGAACAACACCGGTTGGAAGTGTGTGGGTCCACTTGTATGTGGATCTTTTTCAATAAATATACTGGAAATTTTGGGGGGGATTTGCAACCGTCTGAAACACCTCCCAGATGAACCAGGCAGCTTAGAACTATCAAGGGCTGAGAAGACTTGGATCTGGCCTGTGGCTGACAACCCACCTCCTTTGCCTGCTCAGCACCCATCTCCCCTTCTCTGGCAGTAACACCCCATTTCCTTTGGGGACCATCTCTCCCACAGAGCTTGGACAGAGCTCCCCAACAGTGGGTTTGGGCAAATCGGTGGGCTGTAAGCCTCGCTCAAAGAGAATGGTTGAGAGGAGCCCCAAGTTAAAACAAATCAGAGACAACCCAGGTCACTGAAACTCCTGGGAATGGAACCACCTTTTTCCCGGGGAGTCGCCAGGCTAGGGCAGCCGAAGCCTGGAGCTGCTGGGGGCCGTCCTCACAGCCCAGGGAAGGAGCCTGCCTAATCCTAAGGTGGAGCCGCAGGAGGGAAAGACCACAGGCAAGGAGAGAGGTTTCCCCAGGCAGCATCGCCCACACGCCTGCAGCCAGCCAGCCGCCCCCTGTGGCTTTTTTTTTCTTTATTAAGATATTACAAATGTGTCCTAATCTCCCCATTGTCCCCCAACCCCACTCAGGCCCGCATCCCCCATGTCTGTATCCATTGCTTATGCTTATATGCATGCATACAAGTCCTTTGGTTGATCTCTCCCCCTTAGCCCCACCCTCCCCTGCCTTCCCTCTGAGGTTTGACGGTCTGATCAATGCTTCTCTGTCTCTAGATCTATTTTTGTTTTTTAAAGTTCGCTTTAGCTGGCTTCTGTAACTTGCCATCCAGGGGTCGCTCTTACTGTGGGGCTAGAGTTTTCATAGGGCAGTGATAGCGAACCTATGACACGCGTGTCAGAGGTGACACGCAAACTCATTTTTTTGGTTGATTTTTCTTTGTTAAATGGCATTTACATATATAAAATAAATGTCAAAAATATAAGTCTTTGTTTTACTATGGTTGCAAATATCAAAAAAATTCTATATGTGACACGGCACCAGAGTTAAGTTAGGGTTTTTCAAAATGCTGACACGCGGAGCTCAAAAGGTTCGCCATCACTGTCCTAGGGGAAAGGTAAGAAGGTCATAGGGCATCTGTGATGAAAGGCAGCTGAGAAGCTCGTCTTGAGAAGACACCCAGCTCATGAGGCCACTGGCGCTGCTGGGGCCGAGGACACTCACCCGGCAGACGCCATCCACACAGACGTCCGGTTTGCCAGGCTCGCAGGGCGTCCCGTCCACCACGGCCTCCCTGTGCCTGTAGTAGAAGCTCTCCCCCTTGGGGATGCAGGCCAGCTCACACTTGTTTGGGGCTGGGAAAGGCAAAGGGGAAGGCGGAGGTCCTAGTGAGGTTCAGGCCTAGCCTAGCCACAGCGGAGCATGGGCGGGGCCAGAAACACAGAAACTGGGGGGGTGGGGGGAGCCCTTGGAGCAGCCCCCACTAAGGGGCTCAGAGTCCCACTCCCCTCCCAGGGAGAGGGGATGTTCTCCACAAAACTGCTGCATCTCTGGGGCTCAAGTCTAAGGGAAATCCCAGAATAAGGAAAACACTAGACACTCGAAGGGGTCTGTCTCAGCATGATCTACAATAGCCCGAGTGCGAGCAATCAGGGACTCTCTAAAGAATGACCTATCTGTAGAACGTATGCACATTAACAATTTTGTTCAAAATTATAAAAACTTGCCTGGCCGGCATGGCTTAGTGGTTGAGCATCAACCTATGAACCAGGAGATCATGGTTTGATTCCGGGTCAGGGCACATGCCCAGGTTGCAGGCTCAATCCCCAGTAGGGGGGCGTGCAGGAGGCAACCAATCAATGGTTCTCTCTCAGCATTCAGGGTGCGTAGAGGAGGCAGCCAATCAATGTTTCTCTTAGACTGATGTTTCTCTCTCTTACGCTCTCTCTAATAATCAATAAAAACATCCTCAGGTGAGGATTTAAAAAAATGTATGATGACTATACAAGAATGTAGGAAAATGCTTGTCACAGAATGCAAAATGGTACATAATTACAAATTAATTTCTCGATGTCATAATTACAAATATGTAAACACATGGAGAAAATGAGGTGAAAGGGCCAGAATGAAATGTTAGCAGTGACCCTAGAAAGGAGGTGGGGTTAGGGTCATTTTTTTCTTGTTTGAATTTTTACATTGATCTAATATTTTATACGCAGTTTAAATAGCCCAGGCTGCTAATAGGATTGTAATAACCTCCACAGCAAAGCAGGCACCCCTCTGTGGCCCTTTCTAGCCTTTTCTCCGCGTTCCTATAACATGGAGATACTGAAATCATTTTCAACAGATCCCTCAGAATTCAGGAGGAGCAACGAACGCAATGGTCCCCACTGGGGCACCCCCTCTAGCCAAGACCCGCCCGCACCCCGAACGCACTCAGTGACTTGGAACCCAGAGCCCACAGTTTCCAGGCAGGACTGGCAGCGAGCAGGGAACTAACAGGCAGAAGAATTACCCTGCGGTATCTTCTGGCTCATTTGAAGTGTTGTAACTACTTCAAATGTTGTTGTTGTTTCTTCCTGAACTGTATTGCTCTAAAAATTCACAACCTACATACTTTCCTCAAAGCTACCCAGCACAGCGGGGCCCAGGACCTGAAGACCGGGCTCCTGCCACTGGCCCTGCGCCCCTCGCCACCCTCAGCGCCGCTCTGTGCACAGGGCTCAGGCCAAACCGAGACCGGGCTCAATGGCAGAGCCACGGCCACGCTTTGTGTGAAAATGCACGGGGGGCGGGGT